AGCACTTTGCGATATCCTCAATCAAGGAGAGCTTTTATCAAAATACCGTCAAACTAATGACAGAATATAGGATCACACACACTACAAGCAGGATGAAAACTCACATGCATGTACATGTACATGCATATATCATGAAATCATGATTGCATGTACTTTCATGAACATGTATATAATTATATAAATATTATAGATACAATCACAGTCCAACCTGTCTATTCTGTACACCTTGGGACCCAATAATACCCTCCTCATTATAGAGGTGTCCTTATTCGAGAGGTTCATTAATACACATTACTATTGTATCAGGATTGATACTACCTGTCCTTATTTCAGAGGTTCATTAACACCATTTATGTATTGGGACTAATACTACCTGTCCTTATTAAAGAGGTGTCCTTATTTCAGAGTTTCATTAATACACATTACTATTGTGTTGGGACTGATACTACCTGTCCTTATTAAAGAGGTGTCCTTATTTCAGAGTTTCATTAATACACATTACTATTGTGTTGGGACTGATACTACCTGTCCTTATTAAAGAGGTGTCCTTATTTCAGAGTTTCATTAATACACATTACTATTGTGTTGGGACTGATACTACCTGTCCTTATTAAAGAGGTGTCCTTATTTCAGAGTTTCATTAATACACATTACTATTGTGTTGGGACTGATACTACCTGTCCTTATTAAAGAGGTGTCCTTATTTCAGAGGTTCATTAATACACATTACTATTGTGTTGGGACTGATACTACCTGTCCTCATTATAGAGGTGTCCTTATTTTAGAGTGTCCACAATAGCAGGCCTAACTCTCTACTCCAGTAATAGTTAAGATACGTCATACAATTGTATTGTTATTCTTCAATTCCCTTTATATATAGTAATTGGTTATTGTAATGTCTGTGTGTGTGTGAGATATAGTCCCTTTTAACTCTTAGCTTGATTATTGTAATCCTCTTGCTATGGCTGTCTCATGACTCTAAAATGCAGTGAAAATAATAACAACAATGATATCATACCGTTAATCATCAAACTATCGTTGGTGTTTATTGTAAAGGTTTGTTTATGCATTGTCGTGCTAAGAGTATCTAAGAAAGCTGTGATCCAGTCAAACCTGCTATTGTGATTTGTGAACACTCCTAACTTTAACACCAAACAGGTACAACGTATGACTCCAATTGTTGTCCCAATTACTTAGTAAATTCCCAATACTTTATATGTAGCTATATTTACAATTGCACAATCCATTTTAATCTTAGTTAATTCTCACCTAGTATATGAACATATTAGCCTATTTCGTGTCAGTCATGATCTAGTTATGTCCCAGTTGCTATAGGGAGTGTGATGTAGCGACTAGTCAGTTACTGGATGAGTAAGGATGACACTATCTGTCAGACTAGTAGTGAATGAGGCATGTCTGTGTGTGTGTGTCTGTGTGTGTGTGTGTGTGTGTATGTGTGTGTGCTAAGCACAACTGTTTACTATCAAGTTATTATTGTAACATTGAACTATAATGTCCTACCATACCATATAATCTGCTGTATATAACTGTATTAATATTATATGCTTTGTGTGTGTTCAGCAACTAGTGGTGGTTATATACAACTATGTTTGTGTGTTATAGATACACGACTCTCTATCTCTCTTCCTCTCCTTGTTGCTCGTGTGTTTGTGTGTGTATATTTAACATCTTACATGTAATGGTTTCCTCTTATTAGTATTCTATTTACTATAATGTACATGATGCATGTACATATCTGTACATGCATGTATGTTTGCATGTATGTGATTATGAGTATTGGGAGTTTTAGCCAAAGATTATACTCTATAGTTCATTTGTTCCAGATAAATGACCCTGGATAAATTTTCTCATACATATTGATGTTCTTATGCTGTGTAGAAAGTTTGAGCCGATTCTGACTTAAATTGTTCAAGTTATGGCCATTAAAGAAATCTGCCAAAATCTCAAAATTTCCCTATACTATTAGCCCATGCTTTTTTCCGAAAAATGGCTAAAAAATGACCCCCAATTTTTATTACATTTTCTGATACATATTGATGCCCTTATGCTGTGTAGAAAGTTTGAGTCAATTCTGATTTAAATTTTTCAAGTTATAGCCATTTTAAGAAATTTGCCAAAATCTGAGAAAAAAGCATGGGCTATAGCCCATGCTTTTTTCCAAAAATGGCTAAAAAATGACCCCCAATTTTTATTACATTTTCTGATGCATATTGATGTCCTTATGCTATGTAGAAAGTTTGAGCTCATTCCGACTTAAATTTTTAAAGTTACGACCATTCTAAGAAATATAACCTTTAATTGACATATGTACATATACTGATGATATACTTACATGACTACATGTGACATAGAAGTGTATGTCCTATCATAATTAGAGTCATGTACACAGAGACATGCATAAAGACACACATCATTTCAATGGAACCTATGAGACTGTACATGTATGTACACACAGACTAAATAATAATAATGATTATGAAAGGTTTCTTTATTTATAGTTATTCCTTTCTTTAATGAGATTAGGGTACATGTACATACATGTGTAATAATAATTGTACTCGCTTTAAATTATAATTTTAATTACTTGGGAAATTTAATAAGTAAATCAATGATTCCTTTAAAAAATTTTTAAGATTTTGATAAAAGTTATTTTTATCTTACATGCAATAAGATTCACCTCTATATACATGTACATGTACATGTACTTTACCTTTGATGTACACGTACATTTATGATTTATAATAACAATATACCTCACGCTCCACCGAACAATGTACATAAGTGTGACTACACGTACATGTGCATGTATAGATTGAGCACGCTACATGGGCCAGCATTACAGTACATGTGTTTGTCATTTGTCACCATCATCATGTGCCAATGTGTGTTAATGCCATGTATGCCTATACCTGTATAAACAGCTTGTAAAAGCTACAGCAGCAGCAGGTAAAAACATGCAAGCGAGCATGTGTGTGTGATGATACATGTACATGTACATGTACATGCACGTATGTATTGTTAATAAGGTTTGTCTCACCCAAGGAAGGGAGTGTTGGCGTGGATGGTGTTTTATTGTTAGTTCATTGTGCTATTGTTGTATGCTCTCCTTTGTGTGTTGGTTGAAGTATTGATTGAAGGACTTGGGCTGTTTGTGTAGGAGACATTGAGAGATAGGTTAACATATGAGAGGCTGGACAAGTCATGAGAGAGACAGAGGGAGGGAGAGAGAGGGAGTTGGGAGAGGGAGAGAGAGGGGGGAGGGAGAGAGAGAGGAAGAGAGAGAGGGAGAAGGGAATAAGAAAGGAAGGTAACCAGTCATGTGTAATATAGTGACATTCATTAGTCCCAAAATTCAAAAGAAATCCTGTCATTATTGTCATTATTGAACCCTGTAATGAGTTCACTTATCCTCATACTATCATTATACAGTAGCAATAGTAGTAATATCTTATTAAGATAGTACAGCAATAAATTCAATGTGTGTGTGTCTGGTGGTTTGCTACTTGTACTGGGTAGGGCAGAGAGGATAATGAAATCATGTATGATGAGTTTATCCTGTTGGAATGATGTGGGTAGTGAACTCACCCTCTGTTGTCATTGGCTTCTTATCTGATTTGGACTCTCTCCAATAACACACATTGAACCAATAGTAAACAATACTGAGTGGATTATACACAATAATACACTCAGCAGTAATATTAATGTATAATTGTATGGTAGTCCAATAATGTGTATACTAATACTGGATAGTCTTCTTAACACATCACTTGAAGCACTACATGATTTTACGCATAGTAATTGATGATACAGTATCTAGTACGCTATAAAGCATCACTACTAATGCTTGATTGTATCCCTACTAGTTTATTGAAGCATTAAGTGTTTACGGTTCAATATTGAAGGTGTAGTATATCTTAATTGTACTTGGATTGTATTGTATGTGTGTGTATGTGTGTACTAGTATTGTGTCTAATCACGTTAGAAGTTATAGTAAGTCTAGATCCGTCTCTGATATCACAACTTTAACTTAATTGTAACTTAATATCTATTTTATAGCTTTTAATTTATTCTTTATTATACGTCCTGCAATAGACATTGTTTTATATTATTTTATAATTATATTCTCTGTTCTCAGGTCTGGAGGATTTATTGCACCCAAGGCAGATCCCCGATCCAATCGTTGCTGATAAAAATAAAGAGGACTATATCTTCATGTCTTGCCTTAACTACATACATGAAGTGAGTTTAATAACTATTAATAACTAGTGGTTTTGTGCCCTGGTGCCAAACTTCAAACTTCATGCTATTGTAGTTATTTTAACTGGCCAGGTCTACTACATGTATATTTAATGAAAATCTCTTTTAATTTTACCTCTTTTTCCCATCATTATAATAATCATTTATTAAGTTACAAAGCGACTATAAGTTCTGATATTTATTCATGTGCATGATCGAGCCAACTCAGCCGTTATGCTAATTTGTATTCCTGTAATTGTCTTAACGCGAATCCTACAACCATTTTCCTGTATCATTCTTTCACTACTCCCACTTGTCTGTGTCTCCACGCACACACCCACACATTCCCTTTCTTTCGTGTCTTGAATTAGCGCTCATACGTACATGTACATGTACATGTACATTATATAAAATATGTACATGTATAATTACTACGACCATATTGTACATGTACATCACTATACCAATTACACTTTAATGATTGTGTCTATTTTAAATATGCACATAAATACATGTATATTTACATTCCCACTCATGTACGTGTACATATGAACTTATTTCATTCCTTTCCTTGAAACAGTCAGCCCTTACATTTCATGCTATGTTATGATGTCCTTGTATTTGCTTGAATTGGATGCCAGTCATACCTGCTCATTTATAAGTCGCAGGTGTTGATTCTGTGTCTGTATGGCTCTTTGCTTTCTGTTGGCAAACAGTAGAGGTCTAGAGGATTTAATGACTGGCTCTGTTAATCCAATTTTATAAAGCTCATGATTGTATATTAGTACATGTACATTGTTGCTAGACCCTCTCTGTCTCTCTCTCTCTGTCTCTGTCTCTCTCTGTCTCTGTCTCTCTCTCCCTCTCCCCCTCTCTCTCTCTTTACACTATTTATACATTGACACACATCTTTATTACTATACCATTGTACCAGACTCCCCATCATTTAAGGGATATCTCCTTCTATTGTTGTAAAATTAGCTCTACCTCTTGCTAAAGGGATACTGCCAGTACATGTACATGTACATGCAAATGATGCAATATCGGCACTTACATGTACTGTATAAGATTATGTGATCAAGCACTGTAGTATTAATACTATGCCCCTATTATTATTATTATTATTATTATTATTATTAATTACTATTAATATCATTAATCATTATTATCATCGTTGCTATTATTATTGTTATTATTACTCTGATTTTTATCTTCATATTATGTCTTGCAGCTGGGCCCATATTGTTTACCCCGCCAGCCAGTGATTGATTACATAATGTGTATGGAGTAATCATGTGACTTGTTGTGGTTTCAATATGATGCAATTTATACTCCAACTGTTGCTTAGATACGTACATTACATGTACATGTACATACCTTATAAGGAGTTGTAAAGGTGACACTGCATACATACAAGTTCCGTCTATTCAGCAGTCCAGCCATGTGATGTGGTGCCCTGCCATGCTAAATCATTCTGTTTGTATACCCAATGATTAAATCATGACTTACTAAAATATTTGTATTACGTATTAGCCCTTGTATTTATACGTCAATGTACACATAGACTTTGTATTACGTTTATTATTGTATTTATTAATGTTGTCTGTAAACAATTCAAATATTAAGTTTTATGTATAAGTATGTCTTTTCTGTGGATGACTTGAGTTAGGTGTTCCTGCATATCTTTGCCAATGATTAAGGAATTGTTAGCAGACATTGTGAGAGCCAATGAAGTCAAAGGAACCATTGTTGTCCAACAGATACTCCTGGCATTCCAACAGATGCTGGTAGTACTGGAAGGGGGGAGCTGCCAATAATATCGGGCCCTTTGTGTGCGTGGCTAATAATACCGGGCCCCTCAGCTTGTGCGTGTTTATTAATCTAGTGGATGTAAGTGTGGTTCATCATTGCATGTTATTTATTGTAATTTTATTGCATTCAGTGTAATAGTTTTGACCACAGGTACTTCTGATTGTATAAACTTTGAGGTTATGGGATTACTGCCTACCAGGTGGTCAGACTTCTAGTGGTTTTAAATTGCATGTTTTTTTGTGAAATTAGTGAGAATGAGTAATTTGATATATCCTTTCCTCTTTCTTTATTTTTCTCCCTTTTCCCTCTATTTTGTCATCTCTCTCTCTCTCTCTCTCTCTCTCTCTCTCTCTCTCTCTCTCTCTCTCTCTCTCTCTCTCTCTCTCTCTCTCCTCTCTCTCTCTCTCTCAGGTAAAGAAAGGTGTTTTTGCTGAGCATTCTAATGTACTCTGGGGCATTAGCTCTTTATCTGAATGGAATCGTGTCCATTCTGGCCTACTTAAGATGTACAAAGGAGAAGTAAGACAGAGAGAGGGGAGAGAGAGAGAGAGGTGTCAATATTCACTCATTTATTGTTATCTTGAGGTGTGAGTCATTCAGCTCTTTTCATTATTGTCCTTCCATAATGAATATCATTATACACCTTGCTTTAATTAACCCTCCATGAATATCCTTATGTTGATAAGGGAGTAGTTCCCTTGGCCTCTTTTTTCATCCTTTGTCACGATGGGCAGAGTATACTAGAGAGTATACGGAGAGTTTACTAGATTAATGTTCTTATTATATCTGGCCCACTTAGTACCAGTGGGTTGTGTATAGTCTATGTCTCCATTAGCTATTGTGTACTTTTTGAATTTTTGATACTTAGCAGCCAAATGGGCACTTAGGTGGTACAGACACAAAAATAATTATAACTGTGTCATCTATGACTTCTGTTGCTCTTTATAATAATTATTTTGTTTTATAAAATGTAACTAACGTAATATTATTATTATTATTATTATTATTACTTTTTGGCAGAATTTCTGTCTATCAAGCATATGCATGTACATGATGTGAATGGAAGTTTTGTGTTGCCTTCAGTTACTAAATGTCCCCCATTGTATTATTGTCAGGAAAGCTTGTGTTTTGATTATTTTTCTAATGGATTCGTTTCAGTGTGTCTGCATATGGAACAAACCATGACATCACCTCTGTATAAAGTGATATATGATCTTCAATTTCTGGCACTGGCTCTATTGTGAAAGTTTTTTCTTGGCATGTTTACCTTTTGCCTTTTGAAATTGCAACAAGCGGCTTGGATTTTGAAAATATCACTTTCTTTGTCAGCCTATACCTTTAGTTTCAGTGGTACTACTACGTAATAGGCATATACCTCCTTTACTATGAAATGTAGTGTACTCCACTTCCTAATTATGTACATGTACATAAATATTTCTTGAATTTGATTATCTTTTTTTACCATTAGGTGCTTGATAAATTCCCTGTTGCTCAGCATTTTCCTTTTGGGACCATCCTAAGCATAGAGCCAGCCACTACTAAATGATATCACCTTTTATATTGTGTGTATGTGTTACATAGACTTTTTCCATGTGTCGATCGTTGTTGACTTTATCATTTATCTTTTTTTGTTAGCAAATTTTCTTTTAAGAAAAAAGGTTGTAGTACCTCTTTTAAAAGTTTTGAAATAATAATAATAATAATTATATATAATACATGTGATTTTGTAATAATTGGAAGAGAGAGAGTTAGTGTGATAAGTTAAAGAGAGGAAAGTGTGATTTGAGATAGGAGGGTAGAGAATAAACAGCTGAATGGTGTGAAGGTGTCGCATTAGGCGAGAACTGTTCAGAAGAAAAGCAAGAGAGATGAAACATCAAAGAGATTCTCAATATGCCAACACTGAGTAGAGTTTAGATGGAGAGAGAGAGCTTTGGTGCCTTGTTGAATTATCAGTCTTGTCTTGAGTCAAGCCAGAGAAGGAGACCGGCCAGCCACTGGGGCCCGATCTAGTGAATTCGGTCCCACACATGAATGTGATGAGAGGAGTGGAAGAGAATGTTCTAGGGGTGAGGAGAGAGTCGGAAAAACCCAGTGAGAAGGACGGCTCTGACGACTTGAAGCGCTTGACGTAATCGTCACCGTCTTCTGTGAGTGGAGACGGAGTGTGGGTTGAGTGGTCAGAGGGAAAGGCAATGGCGTGGTGTCTTTTGCCAGGAGAGGGAGGAGAGAGAAGGCCTCTTTCTTCGGGCCATGTCATGTCATTCTCTGTCTGTAGTTGTAGAGAAGGAACAAGCTCTGTGTTACTTTTTCTTTTAGTCCATGGTGACCAGGTACAGGTATTGGAGACATCAGAGAGTGGAGTTGAAGGCCATGAAGACTGGCTTATATCCATTTCTGGCTCCTCTTCTTCTTTCAAAATATCTGATAGCACAGAGTTCGATGATATGAACTCCATCACTTCGTCTTCTTGTGAAACCTGCTCTTTAGCTGCCGAGGATAGAGAGAGAGGACTAGCGACAGAGCTCCTGTTAGAACTAGTCCCAGAACAGGTGCTGGGCATAGTGTCCATCAGTAGAGAGACGGCGCTGTCTTCCTCTGGCGCTCTCATGCTAGCCAGCAATCTAGAGGCTTTTACTGTCGAGGGAGAGGAAAAGGATGAAGAAGGACTGAGCGAGCAGACGTTAGAGGCTACTTCTTGTGCCCTATTCATTGTAGAGGAGACTAAAAGTGCATCCCGTAAACACATAGCCCTCGCGGCCGGCCGCCTCAACTTTGTGAGAGAGGATTCCACGACGCGATTGGCTTCTAGAAATCTTTCCATTGTAGTCTCTGTAGTGAATGGGGAAGGAGAAGGAGGGAGAGAGTAGAGGATTAGGTCCTGAAGAAGAAAAGAGGCTGGCTTTGTGTTTATGGAGGACACAGCAAAATCAAATTTACCGGCTGCACATTTTCCTTTTTATACTTGCGGTCGCTCGTTTATAACTTTTAATAACTTCAATAAATTAACAATATTCATAGACCCTATGACGATATTCATGGATTTATTTTAATCGTATTCATGGTTAGGGGCCGGAATAACACCTCAGAGATTTGACCTTATAAGGTAGTGGGTGATTAGATACATGCCAGTGTACACATCCGGTAATGAACCGCGCGCGCGGGACTGATGAGCATGATGTCATGTCACCCCACAATATCATCCGGCCAGCGGATTAAGATTCTATTTTTTATCCATGAATGGTGGAACAGTCTAATATAAGAGACAGAAAATTAGATTAGTTAAAAGCATAGAAGATTTTTGAGCTTAATAGCAGAAACTGCATGAATTATTTCTGACTCTATGTTGCACTAGTATGGCTTTATCAATTACGTCATAAATATGTCATTGAATTAGATTTATACATATCACGTGACTCAAACTATCATGTATGTGTATAATTATTTTTTGGAAAAAAGACAAAACAAAAAAGTATTAAAACTTTTGAGCAGCTAATCTTTACCAACTAATGAAGAGTTCACAGACATTAAACACACAGTAAAGCAAGAATGAACGAAACAAGACGTTAAAATGAAATGCAGTTGATAATAATAATAACAATAATAATAATAATAGCCTAATTTAACGATGCAATATACATTTAATAATAGTTTTTAATAGCAAAATTTCCCCCTTCCTCCAATGTTTTTCTCCTTTCTCCTCTTTTCCTCTTAGAGACGAACAAATGGCGGGAGCCTCTTCAAATCGCCAAGAAATTTATTGGGAGTCAAAAAGTGAGTGGAACCTAGAGAGAGAGAGAGAGAGAGGGAGGAGAGAGAAGTAAATTCAAAGACGTGATACGATAGCTATCATCATAGCAAATGAATGATAAAATCGATATGGTATTTCCTTCCATGCTGGTCATCAAAGTGTATAATTAGCGACACCAGCTTAACAAATCTGATTATACATTACAGGCATGTACACAACATGAAGTTATTAGACTTGGTGGCAAGTGACAGTGTATTAAGTTCTCTCTCTCTCTCTCTCTCTCTCTCTCTCTCTCTCTCTCTCTCTCTCTCTCTCTCTCCCTCTCTCTCTCTCCTCTCTCTCTTACCAATAATAAAGTTGTAATCTTTAGATTTTTCTGCAACCTACAGAAGTGAAATGTGTAGAAAGTTTACAAATGACAAATGAAATAGAAAGAAAACAGAACAGACTAGTTGTACATAATTACAATACTAACAGTGCAGAGCTGCTCCCAAGCCATTTTTAATGAAAATACCCTGTACTGGTATGGTAGCCCATGGTGATTTTGAAGCAACTTAAAAATTTGTAAAAAATCCAATTTTGATTGGAATCAGCTTAAACTTTCTACGCAACATAAGAACATGTATATGTATCAGGAAAAAATACAAAAATAAAAGTCCTCTCCTAGCCATTTATCATGAAATACCCTGTACTATAGTACATGGACCACACTGCATGCATATACATGTAATTATACTATTCCCCTTACACATGTACATTATTTTGTACATGGGAAATATACTATTACTTCATAGTCCATACTACTCCTATACACAGGCAATTACTCCTATATACAAACATATCTACACTTATATTCCTACAATGACACTGTTAGTTAACACTATAGTCTAATGACATTATCAATGAAATGCTATAGCTGCATCATGGTGACATATGATTAATATGATATGGGTAGAGGATGACATCGCTCTTATACTGACAATAAGAGATACAGGACTCATGCTGACACCACTTAGTGCTCTGGGTGTGTTAACTAGAGTTTGACATACTGTGTACATGGTCCTCATCTCTGAATAGCTTATCCCTCCTATCACAAATATGAATATGGTTGGGCCGTCTTTACCGGCCGTAGTGGAGGCTTTGGAAGCACCAGAAGAAGCAGAAGCACCAGAACCCTTTGACTAGAGAAAGAGAAAGAGAGAGAGAGAGAGAAAGAAAGAGAAAGAGAGAGAGAGAGAGAGAGAGAAAGAGAGAGAGAGGGAGAGGAGGGGGAAGAATGAGAAAGAAGAGATAAAGGTATAAAACACAAAACATGTTTACTTCTTTCTGATCGCCTGTTGGGATCCAATTATACCTCTTCCTGACACTAAAAATAAATAAAAATCAAAGGATAAGGCTATCGGATTACAAGAGCTAACCTGGAAGCCCCAGCACCACCAGCTGCCAAAAGGAAATAAACAAAAAACAAAGAGAGAGAAAGAGAGAGAATTTGGACCAAGAAGCAGGAAATTTTACAAAGGATAGGGTGAGAGAGAGAGAGATTAATTGCTATTGCCTATGCTTTGTTCCATTTACTTGATGCAGTAACAGAAGCAGTAACACTGCTGGAGGGTCTGGGCTTGGATTTGATGTAAGGGCAGTAAGACTCATCCAATTTGCCTTCACCAGCATACTAAAGAAGGTCAAGGAATATAATAATAAATAATAATAATAATAATAATAAGAATAATAATAATAATAATAATGATGATGATGTATGCATGTTAAATATTTTAGTTACTTCAGCAATGTCACGGATAACTGGGCTCCAGCGAGCGTCAATGTAAGCTTCCTCATCTCTGTCCTTTGGAGTCAAGGACTTACCAGTTCTAACACTCTCCTAATGGGGAGAGAGAGGGGGAGAGAGAGAGGGGGGGGGGAGAGAGAGAGAGAGAGAGAGGGAGAGAGAGAGAGAGAGAGAGAGAGGGAGAGAGAGGGAGAGAGAGAGAGGGAGAGAGAGAGAGGGAGAGAGAGAGAGAGAGAGAGAGAGAGAGAGAGAGAGGGGGGGAGGGAGGGAGAGAGAGAAAGGAGGGAGAATTCTTACATGTACATTAAGCTCATTGATTCCTTACACTTGTAATCATTTGGATCCCAAGGTGCATCAGGTTAGTAATGGTGGTCCTGAAATTGAAAATATGACATAAATTTATTTTGAAGCCTCAAATATAACCAATTTTGCTATTGAAAGTATAACTTTTACTTTCAAGCTCAAGAAAAATGTTCATGTACACGTGTATGCAGAAATTATGCTAAGCAGGCAAATTTTTATGTTTTTTAATCCATCCAGTATATCTCAGTATAACTCAGTAAATTGCAGGCATACCTCTCAGAGTCAGGTATCTCAGAATGCTGTACCATTTTAGTGAACTCATCCTTTGGCACACCTACAGCAGGTAAGTAAACAAGAGGGACAGAGGTCAAACAACACTTGGCAGCCAACAAAAATGAATACATGTAAATGTACATATGCCGCAGGGCTCCTTTTTGTCAAGGGCTATAAATTTCGTAGATTTCGCAATTTTATGAAGATTTTCAAAAATCACTTCCACAAAAATCAAATTATTACAGTACAAGATGGTAGACGATCTAAATTCGCGAAAATTAAATCCACAAAATAGATTTTTAGGGAAATTTGAAAAATCTACAGCCCTCAAAAAAGGCGCCCTATGGTATGATTGGTATCTAGAAACATGTATGTGTACATGTGTTGCATATACATGTACATGTACACGTAAAATTAAATGCTATTAATGAAAATAAGAAATAATACATGCATGTACATGTACATCCAAATATTACATGTACATGTATAATTATTACATGTATAATTGAATGCGTGTGTGCATGTGCGTGTGACCATGCGTGTATCAGAATCAGATCTGGGTTGGTGTTACTGACGTGTTACGTGTATTGTTTACAGCTTAAATCAATAAAGACTTGGCAGTCAACTCTTATCTCTCTCGATCTCCTAATCAGATTTGTC